AGCAGACATGGACTTGCGACGCTCTGCACTGTAAATAGTTGTACAGATAATAAAGCCTGGAAAAGACACGTGGGAGTCTTTGTGTTTGCTCTCGAGCAACCACACCAGTACTTGACAATCTGGGTGGCCGCTGTGAGAATGTTGGACTATGTGAACTATTGGCCTCATCCAGCGGGTTCTTACGTTCTTAAAACAACATTAATGCTAATAGAATAATAAAAAACTTAAAATAATTTACAAATTAAATAATAGAGATCTGTTGGTTGTAGTGACACCTAGTGATAGGAGGAGGAAGTCCCTTTCTAGACTGCCTCTTTCTTTTTCTTTTTTGTTAAACATGATGAGATTTGTTCTCAGTCATTACGAAGAGCAAATGCCAGTGAACTGCAAGCAAGACAACAAAAGGGTCTTTGTTGGAGAAGAAGCCCGAGGCTTCAACTGAATCTGAAGAGCTAATCTTGGACAACTCCTGAAAGATGAATAAAACGCCCCCCTAGAGGCATCTAAGAAGATACGTCCATTCCTAGTTCAAATGGTTCCCCATGTTATCATGGTCACAAAAGCTTACCCACTGGAAGAGAGTAACTCCACATAATAAGGTGCCTGGGATATGATGCCAAGGGAGCCATGACCAGCCTTCTATGCTCAGTGGCAAAATGATGACTTCAGGCTCTGCTTCAGAAGGTCCATCAGCAATTCATGCGGCAACCACTTTATTGAGACTAACAGGCTGCCAACACAACATACATTTATACTGTTTACCCCTCACAGAGCTACAATTCCCAGCACCCTTAAATTACAGTTCCCAGAATTCTTACCAGGGTTTGTGTGTGTGTGCTTTAAATGCATGGCATGTGCGCAGCCTTTGTTGTACGGTTTATATGTAAACATGGAAGTGTGTGCATGTATATATGAGTGTGCAGAGAGAGAGAGAGAGAGTTAAGGGCTTCTCCTTCTCCCAGGGGATAAACCATGTTATTTGAGACTGTATGCTCTTCAAGGCAGGGACCTGTCATATTGCATTCTGCAAAGCACACTGATGGTGGTATTATTATTATTATTATTATTATTATTAATACCACGCCCATATGGTTGGGTTTTCCCAGCCACACTGGGCAGCTCCCAACAGAATTTTAAAAACACAATAACACATCAAACATTTAAAACTTCCCTAAACATATTACTACTATTACTGTTATTACAACTATTATTTCCAGAGGAGTGGTCACATTATACTGTGTAATATTGTTGGAGACATATTTTAATAACTGCCAGATTTTATATTTTCAAAATATGCGGGGACAGATATTAATAGTTCTTTGTCCCAGCAACCCCAAGTGCAACCTAAAACCTGTTTTGCACCCAGTAGAAAGAAATCTAATCAAGGCTGCCTAACTGTAGGATTACCAGATTTTTTTCAATGAATCCAGGGACATTTTTTTTTTTTGAAGCTGAGTAGCAACAGTGAGCCAGTAGTGGGGATGGTGAGGCAAAAGACCCTAGGCCCAAGCATACATGCATATTCTATAAATGTGCAAAGCCCTTCTTTCACACCCTGTGAAACATAAATGCACAGAGTTTTTAAAAAACTGGGCAACGGCTGCCTGCCCACAACTCCCGAGCCTCCCCCGATCAGTCAAAACAAAAGGGGAAGGGGGCAGGAGATCGCACAAAACACATCAAGACCCATCATATGGGGACTTCCGGTGAGGAAAAATGGCGGGCGCCATGGCAGCGAGCAGCTCCTGAAGCCAGCCAGAGCCAACTGCGCTACCAAGCTGGCTCCGGGGTGCTTCCGCCACGTTTCCCAGGGACAGATTTGCAAATCTGGGAACATTCCAGGGATGGAGTTTGGGGACAGATTTGCAAATCCGGGGACTGTCCCCGGGAACTGGGGATGTCTGGTAACCCTAGGGCCTAACACCGCCTACATGTCATCTTGGCTGTTAGAAATGGCAGATTTTGGGGTTCCAAGATCACGTCCAGCTTTTTCCCTCCCTCCCCCCACCCAGGCTCCCACAGCCCTCATTTACCTTAGCATCCAGACTGAAGAGGAATTGCTTGTGCATTATTTTGCAATGTACTTGTTGGTTCTAATAAAAGTACTGCCTGGTTTTTGGATTCCTGCCTTTCAGACTCCAAAATGGTTCGTTACAAGACAATAACAACGCCCACATTCTGCTGCCATGAAAGTAAGTGAGTGTGTGTGTGTGTGTGTGTGTGTGTGTAACATATATCCCAAGGGATGTTGACTATTTTTTGCATTTAGCCCTTTGTTGGGGAAAAAATGTCCCCCCACTTTACTTGTTCTAAAAAGCCACACAGCAAATCCAAGCTGAAGCACAACTCATTACTTTTGAAAACATGCCACCATTATCTATCATCTATCTATCTATCTATCTATCTATCTATCTATCATCTATGTGTACTCTGCCCCGGGGCACCAGAGGCAACATTTGTATGTTGAAGCTGCCAATATAACTCATAAAAGTAAAACTCAGCAAACAGAATCAATGTATATTTATTTAATTAAAAGTCCACATTAAAGGAATGTACTGTCATGTTATTTAATTCTCATCTCATTGGTTTTTAAAAAGTTGTTTGGATAAGCATATATTTAGCTTGCATATATTTTTGCTGACGCATGTAGTATGAACATCATGTGATGAAGGGCAGTATATAAATTTAATACATAATCACAACAAAACTTCTTTGTGGACTGCAGATTTTCAAAGGTAGAATAATAGTTAACTAACATATTCAGTGTGCAGCACAATATTATCCATATCTATTGAGAAGTATGCCCTGCTGGGTTAAGTAGCTTTACTCTCAGGTAAGCAAGTTTAGGATTGCAGCCAAAATCAGGAAAGCTGAAAATTAAACTTCTTGGGTTATATGTGAGACACACCAACATGCCAGATTTTCATTTCTTGTTTGAGCAGGGAATATTCTATCAAGCAATACAAAAAGTGTGACAACAGTTTGCGCAGCAAAACAAAACAAAATACACATCACAAATTACCCTTCAAAGCTACAATTGATTAGCTGGCTACAAAATTTCAAAATTGCTCCCCACCTCTCTCACTCTCTCGATCTTTTCCAAAAACTCTTCTGCACAGAATTGCATTCAATTATTTAGTACAAATATTTGCTCTGGGGCTGTTTTGTGTGGGTGGTGGTTGGAGGGTGGGCGGGGAGAGAGAAGGCAGAATTACTTGCATTATTCACAGTTTGTCCTTGTTTTTTCATAGCCTAGTGCTTGGGCTCTGCCTAGTAGCATTAGGGCATGTAGTGAATGGGGCATGAAGAACATTGCACTGTATAATAAATGAATGGAAAAGGTGGAGTTAGAGATCTGGACAACGCTGATTGGGGGGGGCGGCGGCGAGATTCAGGCTCTGGGGCCAAACCTGGTCCCCAGACCTCTCCATTTGTCCCTTGGGAATCTCCCGAGGCCACACTGCCTCCCACAGCTCAGAGGCTCCTTGAATGCTCCTGGAAGAAAGATTGGGTGATATGTCTGTGTGCAGAAACCACTGATTTTGACATGGCTGGAATGTCACCTTAAGAGTCCTATCCATTGCCCTATTGCGTCTGACAGCACCCACATCTGGTTGGTGGCCCCTAGAAGTTTGCTCACAGGCTGATGTGGCCCTCAGGCTGCAAATGTTTCCCCATCCTTGGGCCTAAATCCTCCAACCAGATACTTGGTCATGGGCCAGGATTTGTGGTTTGGGGGGGGTTGGCTTTGTTAGGGGGTGCAGAACACAATTATCTGTGATGCAATCAGTCAATTAAGTATTTTTATTTATTTACTTGGGGGTGGGGGCAGCTGGAGCCTGGCCTGGCCTTGCCACTGCACCTCTGGCCCCCTCATTGAATGGCTGCCTGGCTGGGCTCCCCCCTGCACAGGCAGGCAGGCAGGGTGGGTGGAGTGGGGTGGCCTTATGGACCTCCCATGCCCTGCGCCCGAGGTGGTGAGGGTTGGGTTGGTATAGCGGGTTTAGTGTGCTCTCCGTGCCCAGCTCCTGGGCCCCCCGGGTGCATGTGTGTACACCCTGGGTGCCAGCAAAGGATGCAATGCTGCTGGATGGGACCATACCCCTTCTACTTTGGGGGAGGCACTGGCTGCTACAGAAAGTTGGCTGTCCTCTATGGTTTTTATCTCCATCACAACCATGTAGATTTCTATAGTCCTTGCATATGAGAGTGTTTGCATGCTTGTTCACTCAGCCTATATGAATGCCTGCATTGGCTTATTTGAGTTGTTCATATTTTGTATATTGTTATTGTATATGGAGTTACCCATAAATGTTAATCATGTGACATATATGTGCGTGTAGGAGCTATGTGTCACATGCATGGTTCCTTGGAGTAGAGCAGTGGGGCAGCAGAATGTGACATCTCAGTGGTAGAGCACCTGCTTTCGAGGCTCCAGATTCAATCCTGGCATTTCCAGGCAGGGCTGTCTGAAACCCCAGAGAACCTGCTCCCAGCCACCATAGACATTACTGAGCTAGATGGGCCAATAGTCTTACTCAGTAGAAGGCAGCTTCCTATATTTGTGCCAGAAGCGAGAGTCCCTGATGTGGGAAAGCCCCCTCCCCCAATTGCTCAGTCAGTAGAGCATGGGTAGGCACACTAAGGCCCGGGGGCCGGATCTGGCCCAATCGCCTTCTAAATCCGGTCCGCAGATGGTCCGGGAATCAGCGTATTTTTACATGAGTAGAATGTGTCCTTTTATTTAAAATGCATCTCTGGGTTATTTGTGGGGCATAGGAATTCGTTCATTTTTTATTAAATATAGTCTGGCCACCCACAAGGTCTGAGGGACAGTGGACCGGCTCCCTGCTGAAAAAGTTTGCTGACCCCTGCAGTAGAGCACGAGCCTCTTAATCTCTGGGTGGTGGGTTCGAGCCTCGCGCTGGGCAAAAGATTTCTGCTTTGCAGGGGGTTGGACTAGATGACCCTCGGGATCCCGTCTAACTCTACGATTCCAGGATCCCATCAGCCTCAGCCCCATGTGCATCCTTTCCCACATGCCTGAACGCAGATAAACCCTCTCACTCGCAAGACGCCAGCGGCAGCTCCCTCGAGACAGCGCCACGGGGTGAAGGAGAAGAAGAAGAAGCAGAAACCCCTGATAGACCCAGCGCAACGAAGCGACCGCCCCGTCTGGCAAACTCTCCCCGCGCGGAGTCTGGATTCCGGAGCCTTCCTACTAGTCCCAGCCTCCCTCCCCTGTGCTGGGCGCAGGAAACTGGGGAAGCGGCTCCTTCTCCCTCCCGCCGAAGCGCGGCTGGGCTGGGCTGCTGCTCCCCCGTGATTTTGTTTTTGCGAGGGGGCGGAGCTCCTTCGAAATCCCACTCCGCGGACTCCAGGAAAGAAAGAGAGAACGGGATCGCCCGGGAGAGGGAGGGTCAGTGTATTTGTGCGTGCGTCTTGCTGTCGCGGGGAGAGCGCGCCCGGATTCTCTCTCGAAGCCCCGGGGTTGTTTCTCTCGCACACCGCCCACCCTCGCCTCCAGCGCCGAGGCAAAGCGAGGAGGGCGAGCCTGCTGAGCCGACGAGAGCTCCCTGCGAGCAAGATCGGACTCTCCACGCCCCGCAAGCCGGCGCCCGGGAGCCTCGTCGAGCCCCGACAGCTGCCCTCTCCGGCGTGGCCCCCATGGAGGAGGACGTTCTGGACAAACTCGAGGACATGGCGTCGGTGCGGGACTTCGACCCTCTCACCGGCAGCATCCCCGCCACCAAAGTGGAGGTCACCGTCTCCTGCAGGTAAATGGGAGGCCGCGTGGGCTCGTGTGCAAGGTGTACGCGTGTGTCGGGGTGGTGGTGCCTTTGGGGGCGCGTACACCTCCAAGTCGAGGAAGGCAGCAAGTTTCTCCTGGCGCAGCTAGCAGCTGCTGGCAGAGATTTTCAGCGAGGGGGGGGGAAGATGTGCGATTTGCCGCTTGCTTGCTCAAAGTTTCTGCTTCTCCCCATGATTCGGCTGGGATTCTGAAAGGCCGATTGGAAATCGTTTGGAAACTTGAGAGAAAAGGCGCGGTTGAGTTAAGGGGGAAGCACAGTCACAGAAGATAGAAATAATCCACGCATCAGTTGCCTTGTCTGAGAACTTGAGATGGTAGATGTTATTGGGGGTCTCTGTTGCACATTACCTGTTCTTGAGTACAGTGGCGTAGCGTGGGTTGTCAGCACGCGGGGCAAGGCAAGTAATTTGTGCCCCTAATCTGTGGATTTGCGCCCCCTAACCCGTGGATTTGCGCCCCCTAACCTGTGGATTTGCCCTAACCCCAGATGTTGCGCCCGGTGCGGCCGGCCCCCCCTGCACCCCCCACGCTACACCACTGCTTGAGTAGACAACCCCTGGTCCGGATCCCAATAGCAAAGCTATTGGTGAAGGAGGAAAGGATGCCTCAGGAATCACTGGATCAACTTTTGTAGGTGAGGCACTGCATAGATCTCAAGAAGTATACTGAGCTCAGAACTCTTCACAAAAGGAGGTGTTTGGGCTGTTTCTGATTGTGATGGAGGTGTTTGGGCTGTTTCTTCTTGCTCTCTAGACCTGTGATAGCTGATTTTCATCCTGCTGGAACTGTGTGAAGCTGTACCTTGAGAACTGACCCACATCTCTGTGGCGGAGCCTCTGCTCATCATTGAGAGCAGAGGCTCAGTTCTTAGCATCGCTGGTGGTGAGGCTAGGCAAGACCACCTGCACTCTATATTGAAAGCAGTATCAAAGCACCTTAAACAGTCTAGGCTTCCCCCAAAGAATCCTGGGAACTGTAGATTGTTTAAGGGGCTGAGAGTTGTTAGGAGACTCCTATTCCCCTCCACAAGCTACAATCCTCAAGATGGTATAATATTCAGTTCTTCTTTCCAGGGAACTGTAGCTCCGGGAGGGGATTAGGAGCCTCCTAATGACTCTCAGGATCCTTAACGGACTACACTTCCCAGGATTCCTTGGGGGAAGCCATGACTGTTTAAAGTGCTATGATACAGCTTTCAATGTATACTGTGGATGAGGTCTGGGAGAGAAGCTTCCAGGTGGAGAAGATGAGGGGTGGGGCCTGTGTGGTCCCCCAACAGTTGTTGGACTTCCAACTCCCATCAGTTTCAGCCAGTGTGGCAAGTAGTGAGTGATGACAGGAGTGGTAGTCCATCAACATATGGAAAGCCACATGTTACCCAAGCCTGCTGTAGATCAACATCTGGAGTGATGCTAGATGGACCAGGGGCTTAACTTAGTCTCTAAGGAACCTTTTTATCAAACTGTAGCTTCCACACTGCTGCAACTGCAACAAATTAATTTAAGGAAATATCTTACCTATGTTATTTTTGTAAACCCTGGGAGAAAATTTCTCTTATTGGATAATGAAATGAACATGTATCCAGTGAGGAATAAATTCCTCTTCTACTAAGCTCCACAAATACAACATTTATATAGAACATCAAAACATGAGTGGTTTTACAATATGTAAATCTTACTGCTATATAAATATAGACAGCACCTTTAAGATTTCACACATTATTTTTGTTGTTGTTGGCAAGCTCATGCTGATCAAGGGAGCAGGGAATTGTTCTGCACAGATGTCTAAAACTGAACTACTTTTACACAAAACGTTTCTCAAACTATAGAATAGGGGGACTTTCCCAGGTCCTATCAATCTCAGCCAGCATGGCTAATGGTCACAGATGATGGGCATTATAGTTCAATAACATCTGGAGAACTGCATTTTATCCACCCCTGCCATAGATCCATCCTTTTAATGTTTAATGTTGCAAAATGCTGCTAGATCACTTAATATGAGACTGAAAAAGTATAGGAAGCCATTTTTGTCCATAAGTGAAAAATAAATACCACCAAAGTCAACAGCTGGGCAATATATTTATTAGGACCAACTGAAATGGTCCTGGTTATGAACAAGCTTTTGAGTTCTGTAGCCTTCATCAGGTCGCTTGCTTTATGTGCAGGCTGATGAAAAGTTCCGCTCAATTTGAAAAGCTTGCTCGCTACTTTGAGACATTTTGCTTGGACTTAATAAGGGTATTGCCCAGCTGTGGAATTTGGAATTAATGCAAGATAGTTATGCTGTACGTACAATTGGTAGAGAGAAGGAGGTGAGCAGTTGGGGGCAGGGTGGGTGGGAAAGAGAAGTCACTCTACTTTACTTAACAGATACAATGATGCGGTCTTGTGATGTGCTCCAGGTTAGCAGGGATGGGGGACCTGTGGTAAATAATAATAATAATAATAATAATAATAATAATAATAATAAATAATTTATTATTTATACCCCATGTTGCTGGACTACAACTCCCATCAGTGCCTTCGTGATTTCCCAGAAAGCAGAGCTTTTCCCTTGTACACTGATATCCTTTGAGCAGTGTATCATTTTGGATCTTCATTTCAGCCTGGAGAAGATACGGGGTTTTCTGTGTGTTTTGTAGCCGCATACAATTAGCAGGCCTATTACAAAGGAAGCATCAGACTGAATCACACGCCGTCATGCTTTCTTAACAGTGCAATCCAAGCCAAGTGGAGTGAATGGGTTCAGTACTGAATCGGAATGGAACTTTGCATGCAGCATTCCTTCAGCCATCCATGCCCCACTTTGAGGGAGAACACGCGTTTGCGCAAGGCAGCAAGGCCCCCTTAGTGTTAAGCATGTTCAGATGGAAGCAGAGAGTGAGAGGAGGCCCTTTCAGGTGCTTTGCAGGTTTCAGGTTGTAGTCAGGCCTCCTGGGAAGGAGAAAATGCAGGTGCTGTGAGGGCTTAAAAAACAAAAACAAAATAACTGGTATATAAATTTGATGACATGAATAAAAAACAAATAAACTTTTCCAGCTGTAATTCTTGTTTGTATCGCATCATTGATGGAAACAAATCTCTGCATGCAGAATTAAGGAGAACTATCTGTAGCTCTGGATGTTTCTTTCATATATAAACTAGCCTTGCTTAGGACATAATTTGTGATTAGATTGCTTTCTTAAAGGAGGATGAAAAGAGGCTTGTAAGTTGTAAATAACCACTCACCTGGTTACCTGTGGTGAATAGGAATTGCCTCCAGGTGACCAAGCGGGGAAACAGGCAAAGCTCTCCCTCCTTTCCTTTCCTTTCCTTTCCAATAGGCACAGTTATCTGTTTGTACGTTAACTAGTAAAATTGTTTCTGGTTAATTAAATTGCAAGAACAAATGAAAAGTATACCTGATTATAGTGGTTTATTTGGAAATGTCTGTAATTCACTTGTGGAATGATGCATAGAGAGTACCGGAAATTTGCTGTTTGGTGGAATGCTTCCAGGAAAATAATAGATCTAAATACCATCTGTAATGTTTAATGTCTGCACCTGAAAAGTGCCAAGTTGTGATTGGATATTAGAAAGTGCCTTATTGGGAGGCTTTACTGATATGCTCCCACTGTAACGCATCTCCTTTTATTCATCAGATGGCTTGCAGATAACTCAATTTGCAGATCAGCCTTTGGACAGTGTGAATTCATTCCAGTGAATCAGATGTGTTGGTTTCAGAGTGGTCTTGATGAAAGCTCACCGGTTTCTCAATGGAACAAAAGATGTGGGTCGTGACATGAATCTTACTCTACTTTTCCTGCTAGAGCTAGGGGCACAACTTCCAGTGAAGTTTGTTCTTTGTATTCTTCCCTTTTTTTAATGATGAGGGAATGAAGAGCTTTTCAATGTGCAGTTGGGGAGAAAATCTAGCTGTTGGGTCCACTCAGCCATCGACTGACTCTTCTAGTTGGAAACACACATGGTCTATACGTATGCTCACAATGGAATTGTGATATTTTGCTACATGCATTTGCATTCAATTTCACAGTGTGGAATTCAGGCTATAGCAGCAAGGATTAGAGCAATCTTTTGGCAAATTAACAGCAATTACATGATGCTAGAAATTCATCCAAACCCCAGCTGTTTCGCATAGCTCCTGTTTTCTGAGATTCTCATTGTGCACTCAACATCTGGAATAACAGCCCAACAGCCCAACAAGGCTCCTTTATCTTTTTGCTTGTAGTGCTCAGGCCCAGAAAAAACTCTAGGCAAAGAGGGTTATACGTACATCTATAACTCCCATAAGGAAGAATGTCTTCCTCCACAATTTCCAGCAGCCTGGCGTCCTGCTGGGCTATAGCTTAGAGTTCCAGGCACTGGGATTAGGTGCCTGAAGATCTAACTACAGCCCACTGTGAAGGAGGATTGCTGGATCTTTCAAAGCAGTGTGTTCTTTTCATAAGAGTTCTGTAACCACAAAGCGGTTTCTTAGCGGGCTCCTGACTAGTTGAGATCTGGTCCTTGCACTGCCAGCCACACAAAAACCCAGCAGGAGGGAGGCCAATCTGCTTCTGGGTGTATCTGGGTCAAACTATTTGAATGCAATAGACTTGCATATGTTTTAAACATGTAAAATAGCAGCCATGAGGGGGCCTGTGTAGCAGTGGGAGCATAGGAGTTGTGGAGGGGAAGTTTGATTCTCTCCCCCTTCCCATGTGGTCCCAACAACTGAAGCTGCATTAGGAGGGAAGCCTCTCGACTATTGATGGGACAAAGCCCACTAAGTCAAAGGCATGCAGGAAAGAGTTAATAGTCTGGATTGTACATTTAAACTAAGGAACCTCAGTGCTTCCTAACCCAAGGAAGCTAGAGCACAAGGATCATTAACCTTTCAGCATTGATTGTGCAGAAGAGGGAAGTGGCAGCAGGGTTCTGCCCACCCCTCCAAACAACTGAAGCTATGTGATATGATGAGCACCAA